AGTCTCCTTAAGGCCCTATTATCACTGTCAGTAAGTATTCAGTGATTGATACATGGCCTGAAATTCAGAGTCTACCCTCAGAACATTAAATCCTGCTTTCTTCTTCTCCAAGCGAGAAGGAATCTCCTAATAAGGGTTTTCTAATTTCTCCAAACAGACAGGGACATGCATTTAGACATTGGAGTCTGCTCGAATACAGGCAGACAGTGACATTCCCACTATCATTTATTTAAGTACTTTAGCAACTGCAAGTCCAAGGATGCAGGATGTCCACCTTCCCACGCCCAAGTGTTATCAGACTGGATCCAGAGGTGATCTTTTCTGTCAATGTCACAGTCATGAACATTAAGAAAGAAACTGTGCTGCCTGACAAGCCTCAAAGTAGAAAGTTCAGCAGTTAACTAGTAATTTCAAAGTATTAATGGGAAGTTACATGTTGCTCACCTGCCTGTCTTGCCTGCTGCTCAGAGTTTCTTCCTGGAAATGACTCAGCTCTTTTCTTCCCAGCAGAAGGCTGGCCTCCCAAAAACTCAATGTTAGCAACTAGCTTGTGTGCCTCACCTGCTTGGTTTATGGTTAATGTCAATGGGAGGTAAAATAATGACCCTGGATCCAGTCGCATCTTTCCATGTGCCTATGGCCCCAAATCAAGATAGCAGTTGTCTCTTAAGATCTTTGATTACTTCTAATGGCAAGAGCTGTTGTTTCAAGTGACATTTTTTTTCTTTGTTGTTGTGTGCTGTTGAGTCGATTCAGACTCATAGTCACCCTAATATGACAGAGTAGAAGTTGTCCCCCAGGGTTTCCTAGGCTGCAATCTTTTTTACGGAAGCAAACTGCCACATCTTTCTCCCATGGAGCTGCTGGTGGGTTGGAACCACTGACCTTTCGTTTAGCAGTCAAGCACTTAATCACTGTGACACCGTGGCTCCTTAAAGAGGCAAGGGTCAAACAGTTCTTCGTTTTTACAAGACACTCTGTGGCTAACCAATCCCCTGTTCCCTGCCTAAAATTGTTTCCATATATTGTAAAACAAGAACAAAAATTAATTTTAAATATTAAATTGAAAGCACTGTATTTCCCACAATATCCGTTTGCTGATGTGCTCACTCCTTTTCTTAGTGCTCTAATAATACCTCAGGCAGTTGGAGATTAGAAAGAATTATTGCTGCTTTCACTTTGTGGCACTGGTGAATTTTTAAGAGCAGAAGCCAAACAACGCTAAATGTCTATAGAGGTGCTGGTTTTAATGGTCCTGTCACTGACCAGACACCTTGGGAAGCACATCATTGCAGCAGATCTACAGGGCATCATTACTCCAGCCCATTTATACACTTAGATTTTAGTAGGAAATACAGATTTGGGTGATTTTCTGTGTGCATTAACACTGACTGTTGTGTTAGAAATAAAGAGAAACAGTGTAAGCATAGAATTGAATCCAAAATGTTCTCTTGATGGTCTTAATCTGAGTTCTGGTATCAAGCACAAGTGGTTGGGTGTCTTTGCTTTATGCTTCTATACTACCCTATACACATCCCTGTCATGTGTCTCATCAAAATGTTCTGGATCTCTTTGCGTGAATGTTTCTCTCATTAGATTGAGCTCCCAGGAGGAAGGGGCTCTGTCTTTTATCACTGAATTCTCTGTGCTTACCAAAGCATAAAGAAGCATGGTTCCCTAATAAATACATAGACAACATGTTTACACTGGTCAGTACTTACCATTATATCTAATACATTGGGTTATCATATCTGGGTCTCAAAAGAACCTCTCCATTATTATGGGATGAAAAATTCTGGTGTAGGCTCCTTTACTTATAGAAAAAGGCCACAGATGGATATATCTTATATAGCTTTACATCACTTTTAAGTCTAGCTGAGAAATTAAATTCCCTTGTTGAACTGAATTTCATGGAAGGGAAGGGAAGTCCTTATGCCTTGCAAATGCTGGTGTCTCTGCCAAGAATTCCCTCTCACCTCTCTTCTGCCTTCCTAACACATCATCTATGGCTCAGCTGGAAAAGATTCAAATTGAAAATAGGCTTACCAGTAGGGGTACCACTTAAGCTAAGTTGGTATCCCTTCAGAGACTCTTCCAGAACCATACACATACTTTTGCACAGCATAAATTAGGCCATTTTGCAGTTGGTGACTCACTTGTCTATCTCCCTTACTGACAGACAAGCTCAAACCTCTCTTCGTGCCAGGCACCATGAATGCTGTATGAATATGTTCAGTAAATGTCTACTGAATGCTTTTGGACAAAGGAGAAGCACATAAACCAGCTGTATCAGCATTTATTAGTTTATCTGTATATGTGACATTTGGCAAGTTACTTAACATTGCTATGCTATGATTTTTTAATCTATAAAATGAAGCTAAAATAAGTTTTCCTGGAATATACATGTTAAACCATCTAGTAAATTTCTGGCATACAACAAGGGCCAGAAAATGCAGTGATTTCTTTCCTCTCTTCCTCCCCCTTTCTTATTTCAGGAGATAGGTGGAGCATATTATTAATCACCTAAAAATTTACAATTAATGTTGGTAATAAAAACTTCTTGGGATATAATAGGTATTCCACTAACACCAATGATTTATCAAAACAAATCATTATCATAAGTCAACAAATAAGGAAAAGAGTCAAGGGCCCAGAGATGAACTATCTGAACAAATAAATGTGAGTTATTTGTTCAATTAAATATTCCAAGCCCTCACCACATGATAAGAACAAGGCCATATATCCTCTGCCCTCAAGAGCTTTAGAGCGACTAAGAAGAAAGCAATTCAATGAAACAAGGGCTCTAAAATTCAAGGTACTATTTGAAGACATCGGATTGATGACCTTTCACTTAATGATAGAGACCTTGGGAAGCAGAAAGGTGGCCCAGGAAGGCTTTAGAGT